TCTTGTTTTGGTTTTGATCTATTCTTTTGTTACATTTTTAATATCTGTATTTTATATAAAAAAATTGTTTTTAATTTATATGATAATCCAAAATTACAAAAAAAAAAAAAAAAACGAAAAAATTGTATGACATAGTTATTGCATAATATGTGATCTTTTTAAATCACAAAATTTTATAATATTTTTTATTTATTAAAAAATGGCCTAGCCTCAATTCTCCTCATGAAGTCACCGTAACTTCGTGCATGTTTATCCAGTGCCTCACAAGATCACGTCTCTCCTTTATTTAGAGTTGTTGATCTTCATTTAATGGATACCTTCACTCTACACCAGACAATCAGTGTTAATTTTAATGACCTTTTCTATGTAAGTGCAACCCTAAGTCACACCTAGATATGATTCAACTCATTTTAAAATGTCCACGTAAATCATATGCATACTTGAGCATTAAAGTGTTCACCTTTTTTATAGGTACACCATTCAATCGCTAGCGAACTGTCACCATCCACAGCTAAAGTATTTTCATGATGGTTTTTATCAATATATCTATAATTCTTTGTTATTGTATGGAAGGGAAGTGTTGGGTAGGTCTGAAAATGAATCAATTGAGGGAGCCTTACTTCATAGGAGCCTCATTTCTCCTTTTCAAGCAAGTCTTCAAGTTTTGCCACTCGGTCGGCTAAAGTCGCTAGAGACCCATACAAGTTCATCTCCTCCAAGAAAGAAGACATTTGGTCCAGACTGTGGCACATCCTAAAAGACTCCATTTTGAAGCTGGAAAATTTCGCCTCAACAAGTACATAATGAGTCTTCGAAGACTCGACCTCTTGAGAAGAAGTGTCGGGGACCAGAAGTTCCTCATGACCGACCATAAACTGAGTCATAAGGGAGGCCTCTTGCAACATCTAGAAGCCGACTTCGCCATCAAGCCATATTTGTCAGTTTTTGAGAGTTTGCATGCGTGGATGTAGTATTGGAAAGACAAACACAATTGGTCTGAGGCAATCGACCAACCAACACAGGGGGAATGAGAGATGAGTACTCCTAACACTTTTTGGCAAGTGGATAGCAGAAGTAGGCCCAGACTGCTTCAACCTTTTAGTAGAACTCCCCTAGCCGATCGCCTTACAGTAGTTCTTTATGGCCCTAGCCAAGACAACTATATCACAGTTCTTCTTGCTTTGATGCTATGAGGGCTTCTAAGCAGCCATAGGGATTCCTCATTAAGGGAAGGGGATCCAATACCTTGCGCAGGCGTGACAGGAGCGATCAGGGCATTCTTCCTCTCGAGTGCATTTGGAAGGGAGAAAATCAACAAATAAGAGGCAATACAAGCTCACAAACCATAAATAAAGCAAGAGTAGAGTAAGTACCAAAACGTTTATTCCTCTCCTTGACATATTTCGAATTAGCAATATCCCGACAATGTATCTCCTCAGCAGAAAAGGAAAGCAAGGTCCCCTTCATTATTTTCTCTGCAACAGTAAGGGTATCACACGAAATAGAGTAAGAATTATCCGCCTTTCAAAAGTGGTCCGGGGACAAAAATCATTTCATCTGAACAACACACACAATCATCTCTAAAGAAGTGGTCAGAACGACACAAAATTCCGCATGAGCAAGGGGGAAGATGGGATTGGCCAAGAAGTAGTTAGTTTTGAACTTTTTCCCACTCTTTGTGTAAATGCAAAAGACTTTATTATCATCTTGTCAAAGAGAAACAAGATCCCAACTAGATCCTTTCTTGGAAGTGAAGTTTACATCAAAGAGGTGGAACACGAGGCTCTTGGAAGTTGAACCTATGTCTGTCTAGTGTTTGTACCCGTAGTGAAATACCCATACAAAGGCCTAAGTGACCAAATGAAGTTACGAAGGAGGAATACAAAGGAGATCTAGTACTTCTTCCTCAAAAGCACTTAACGAAGGTCAGACACCCAACTTCTAGAAAATGCAGTCATAGAAAGGAATATAACATCCTTTAAGCTTGATGCGTACCCTTTTGTCAACGATGATTACTGAGATCGTCCAATATGAAGATCGTCCCACCTCGAAGGAGGCTCCCCTCACAACAACTTCCTAGGTATTGGGAGAAAAAATTTCTTGGTACTCAGGGTCCACCTAAGGATAATCATCCGCGTTTGTTGATGCCATTAACTCATACGATCAAGAAAATATGGCACTTATATTAAAAAGCAAACCAAGTTGTTCAACAACAATTGGGCTATGATGGGAAGGGTTTCCCCAAAAGACTAAATGTAGAAACACATTTCTCGCGCCAATATGTCAAACAAAATAAAGCCATAGTTATACTCAGCATGAGCCAGAGAAGCGGTACAGATGGCAATATCACTCATATGCGAATCCGCGTCATCACCAGAAGAATCTAACCCCGATTTAGAGTCACCTTGAGGCATATCTAGGACGAGGATAAGGAAGTTATATCCATTAAGAAGTTCCACGAATTCGGGGTTATGCACCCCCGTAGGTTATGAAGACTGTTCGTTGTTAAGCTCGAGAGCATCGTTTATGGGCACATTCCTTAAGTTGACCATGACAATACACCGGAAAAAGATAATGACATGCCTATAAAGAAGAAAGGGAGAAAATGCGAGATCATAAATAAATAAGCAATAAAATGCCTAAACGCTTGAGCAATAGAACTGTTAGATAAATCCAAAAATAAGAAATGAGCATGGAGTAACATGAAAACTTAAAGGGAACTTGGGAGAAAAATGTACCTTTTATAAAGATGTAAGTTAATCATCAACAATCTAGATCGAAAGCAGGAAAAAGATCTGAAGGTAGCAAGTTAACTGTCTCATCAGAAGTAGCGAATGGCCAAAGTACTCAAGCACCCTAAGTAGGGAAATCATGTCCTAACATGTACTCTTAGGGTCACGCGTCTGGAGAAAAGAACGAAACATTTTGATGATGAAAATAATTTAATACACTTGTCCCCTACTACTTTTCAACTGAGTCCAAGCATTTCTACTTTTGGTTCGAAGAGAACAACATCCACTAAGGCCGACCGTCATCAATAAAGGCTTTCCGGGCTCAGTAACGCCCAACAAGCCTTGGGGGCAACTTTCTGCGCCGGCCAAAGGCCCAAGGAGCTAAGACCCAAACTAATGTTAGTTTGCTCCAAATGACCTAAGGTATAAATGCCATGTCTTGAGACATTCAAGGTGTATTTTTATGATCTTCATTTTTCACTACAATCATCTTGAATTATGAACTGACTTGGATATTGGAGTGGTAACTTTGGAGGTATACCCCTACGTCATAGTGGAGATCAACACCATCAATTTAGGATTCCTCATCACCAACTTACACTTAATTTTGGTTCTAGAAGGAAACAGTTCTAATCAAAGTCCTTCAAGTGAAGATAAAAAATTTGATATGAAACGTGTTCATTATGCACCTGCTATAGGTAGTTTGATTTATACAATGGTGTGTACATGATCATATATAGCACATGTTGTTAGTACAATCAATATATTTTTGTCAAATCCAAGTAGAGAGCATTGAAATGTTGTAAAATGGATTTTAAGGTATCTCTGCATCACTACTTGTAGGCTTTGCTTTAGAGGAGATAAGTCTACTATAGAGGGATACTCTGACTCAGATATGGCTGACAACATTGGTTCCAGAAAATCCACTTTGGGTTACATGATTAATTTGTAAGGGGAGTTATGGCTTGGTAGTCCAAAGTGAAAAAGTGTGTAGCATTGTCTACTACAGAGACAGAGTTCATTGTCATTATTAAAAGATCCAAATAGTTGTTATGATTGAAGAAATTTTTGCAGAAGCTTGAGTTTGTTCAAGACAAATACATGTTATTTTTTTATAGTCAAAATGTTATTTATCTTTGTTCAAGACAAATACATGTTATTTTTTTATAGTCAAAATGTTATTTATCTTTGTTCAAGACAAATACATGTTATTTTTTTATAGTCAAAATGTTATTTATCTTGGTAAGAATCTGACATTTCATAATAGGTCTAAACAAATTGATCTGTTGGAGATAGCTAAAGTTTACACATATGATATGATAACTAAAGCATTATCAAAAGAGAAGTTTGAAGCTTGTTATCATATAGTCGGTTTGGCGATTTCCTCCACAGTTCTGAGGGGAGTTTTTTTGAGTTTGAGTTATTTTCTTATGTGGAGAAAGTTTCAAATATGTTAATTTAGGATTAAAGAAAGAGAGAAGAAAAGAAAGGGAGAAAAATCAGCTACAAAAGAACGAAAAGAAGAAAGAAACCAATTTCCATTTTTCTCAATAAGTATCTACAATTAATCTCAATAAATCAACAATTCCGAATTTGTTAATAGTTGAATAAGACTATTTTTGAAAGGCATGTTTGTAACATCTGCTTCTACCTTTTGACCTATGAAATCTTCTAAACGAAGCCTGAACAGAGAGATACTGATTTTGCATTGAAGCTATATTTTTAATTTCTTGTTTTTTAGTTATAAGCTAATTTGCTTTGAAATTTTATTGTTATTAACAGTGAATCACACTCTTATTTGATAATAGTAAGGCTAATTGTTTTATTTAATTGTTTGATTTTAATGACTGAATTCCTTCCCCAGATTGTTCCCAATTTACATAATTTTTTTTATTCTAATACCTTAACTATTAAACCTTTAATAATAATTTAATCTCAGATCTCTTAGCAGCTTTGAAATTAAGATTAAGCATAAAATATCTCTAGACTACAAAGTCATAACCTCAAACAATAACATTTCACTCTCGTTTTAAATCATGAATCATAAATCTATTTAAAGGACAAATAAGATATTATTCCTTAAATAAAGAAAAATATCAAAATCCTGAAAACAACATAATTTATTCTTAAACAACAAGATAAACATCCTAAATCATCCAGCACAAAGTTCCAATAATTGGGGAAAATATTCAGATTAACATCCCTCATTATTCTCCTCCACATCAAGTTCTAAGAATTGGAAAGCAAAAAGAAAACCATGTTCTTCTATTAATCAAGTCTTCTCAATAAGTATTCTACCTGCACTTGTTTTGTGAGAGGCATTATCCAATCTCTATAAAGATTACCTATCAAGCCCGACTCGATTTTATAAGCCGGATCAACTACTTCACCTTTTTCCTCGATCTTTACCACCTGACCATATGTTCTTGATTTCATTTCTACTCTCTCCTGCACCAATGCCTCCACTGTTTCATACGTCAACAACTCCATCAGCCGTTTCCTGTCCTGTTAATCGAAGAAAGCCATATCAAGATACATTTATGTAGTGTCACAATGTAAAGCGTGTTTTATAAGGCAAGTAAAATCTTACTTTCGCTATAATGGCAGCCTCATATAGTTTAGAGGATTCTAGAAACTTTGTCTCAGCAACAAATTTCCCATAGTGGATTCTCTTTGAGAGAGCCTGTAATGGTGCCAAAACATTATAATCATATTTTATAACAAAACACGGCATTTGTACTTCTCTCATGTGATTATAATGTTCAAATTTAGTAAAATGATATTAATAGGCCGAACATCAGTGGATATACTGAACATTCAGGATTAAGAAGGCATGACTCGATTCTGATTGATTCAACAGAAATGAGCTTCTTGTACGTTTACCATCATTAAGAGAAGCTTAATATGTACCTGCAAGCAAAGAGTGTCACAAACTGCAGCTGATCCACAGTTACCATCATCTCCTGGTTTTACCAATCTTGGCAGGAGATCCTTAAAATACATGTCCCAAATCAAATTGTTTATATTGATTGAATTGGCACAGTGATGGAGAACCTAGTTGTTTATACATGAGAAAACGAAAAGTAGATCAGTATAAAAATACGAACTATTGCGAAAACTAAAAACAGTAACTCCTTTTTTTTTTATGAAAGTATTTTTTATCTTAATTCTGTTAAACAAAGTAAGAAGGTGTTGCTGTTACTATAAGCTAATAGCTAAATAGCAAAATTGTATGAAGGATAATGATAACCAAAAGGAAGAAATTGTGTGTTATTGAGTGGCTACTGCCTTCTACTTTTATCTAGGAGTGGCAAAACAGACCCAGCCCGCCGGGCATGTCCGTTTTGCCCATACATTTTTGCGGGACGGGCCAAGATTTGAGGCCTGCACCCTCTAATATGTTTGCTCCATTTTTATCTGGCGTGGCAATTTTCAGGCTTTAAAGGTGCAGTGTCCGCAGGCCTTCCCCACCCTCATTTTTTGCGAGGCGGGCAAAGATTCTAGGCCTGCGCCCTCAACAATGCCCGTCCCACCATGTTTTTTGCGGGGCGGACATGCCCATTTGGCACCCCTACTTTTATCCATGGGCTTGGTTTGACACATGACTTGCCAAGTACATTTGAATTCCTGGAAGCATTATAAGAATTTCATTCTCACCAAAAGGGTACGCACAAGAATAATCATTAATCAATCTTCACTCACCAACCTTATCAAAGTAAGATAAATATTAAATACTCTAATGAAGTTATGATACTCTAGAAAATGAAACCGTTTGTTTGTTGAATATCAAATAAATTTTCACTTTCGTAACAAGAGAAGATTTCAAAACCTGTGGGTACTTCAATGGTGGAAGCTGTGGTTCAGGTAAGTATGCTGGGAAGAAAGCATGCTCATCTGGGCTCATATATCTTCCCACCTAATTTCAAAACGGAAACCAAGCACAAAACAGTTTAATTACCAAACTTTTTTTCTTGCATATTTTATAAGCTTTAAAAAATTTGTAACAACCTGTGCATGAAGTTTTTCAGTTTCGCAGACCATGTACTCAACCAAAGAGCCACGAAAACCATCAGCGAAGAGTGCATCCTTGTCATATGTGTCTTCATTATAAGAATATTGAGCTCTCTCCAGAAGACTGAATATTATGCTATCCTCTTGCCTGATCAAAGAGTGCCTGATGCTCTCTAATGTCAAGCTCTTACTTTCATCCACCCTTATTTTATTTGAATGTCTGACCAAATGACCAAAAGAAACTGTCAAAAACGGATCCACAAGTTTTCATAATACAAAAAATTTCTATGGTTAAACTATTTGGAATTTCGCGGCGAAGGATTATATTCCATTATATTTTGATAAATAAACCCCATCTGAGATGTATGCGATAAAGACTGGGTTGACCATCGCACGGAAGTAAGGAAAATGAAAGGAATACTCTATAGTAGCGGTGGCAAAATGGTCCGGTCCACCGAGCATGTCTGTTTTACCCGCTCTTTTTCGTGGGACGGGCCAAGGTTTTAGGCTCGCACCCTCTAATATGTCTACCCTGCCCTGCGCTGTCCCGCCTCGTTTTTTTTGGACTTTTGGAGGTACTGACATCAGCATATTTTTTTTGCAATTTTAAGCTTTAAAAGTGAAATGTCCACCCCGCCCCGCCCTTATTCTTTTGCGGGGCGGGCCAAAATTTTAGATCTAGTCTGGCTCACCCCATTTATTTTGCGGGTCGGCCATGCTCATTTTCCATCCCTACTCTAGAGTGAGTGCATAATTCATGCTGTCACTACCAAGCCATTAGATCTAAGATCCTCTAAATCCAGATCTGATTGCTCTGCATCCACGAGTCGTTAGCTCGACGGAAAGAGCTTTACTTTGTAATCTCAAAGGACAAAGTTCAAATTTTCTCAGACACATAAATTTTTTCCCCCTTTTCCATTTTTTTAACTAAAAAATCCAGCAGCTTTGTGTCATGCAATGAAGCACAAATATCAGAAATACGACACCAACACTGACACGTCAACATCGATAATAACTTGAAAAAATAAATAAATTTAACATAATCACAAGTGTCAACGTGGGTTTCAGACATCGACACTAACACAAACACACATTCTTTCAGAGGTATTGGTGCTACAGTGGCTTCAAAGCAGTTGGATCTAGGTGCAAAATCCAACTACACCACCTTGCACTTGGATCCAACAATTGTGCAGCTGCTCTAGAAAATTCAATTGGCAAACATTACCAAGACTAAAACAGTAAATTCAATTCCACACCCAACAAAATGCACAATGAAAGTCTAAAATCCATGAACACACGCATTCCTCAAATAGAAAACAATAGGATCTAACATAAACATTCAATAGCTTTCTCTCTAAGCACTATCACGTTTCACCAACCACCAATAAATGACACATTAATCACAAAAACAGCAAAACATTAAAGGGTTGTTATTGGAAAGAATAAAAGAAGTAATAAAAGAGTGATGTACCTGAATTGAAAGGAAGAAGAAGAGGAACTAGCATGAACTTGAAGAGGGCGATAGGAAGCAGTAAGAATGGGTGATGATTGAACAAACATGTGTTGTGTACGAAGTGAAATTGTGGATTTGGGAAGAACATGCGAAATGGGTTTGCTTTGTTTTGAACCTATGTGTGCATGAAGATGATGCAACTTCAATAGTGATTCCATTGTTTCTTTTTTGTGTGAAGGTGATAGCTATGGGACAGTGTCTCTGAAAATAGAGGGTTTTAGAATTTGTTTTTATTCTATTTTTACAAGTTCTAAAATATATATAGTTGTTGGAGAATAAAAGTATTTATTCAAAAGAAGAAGAGAAGAAACAAGAAAAAGAAAAAAACAAACAAAGAAAAAGAAATGGTAAGATTTTATGAAAATGAGAAAAAGAAATTGTGAGATTTTATGAAAATGATGAAGCGCAGTCCATTATTTAGTTGATGTTTATCTTTTAAGATTTATTAAATAATCTGTTTATTCAATAATTATTAGATATATCGATTATTAATAAATAGAGTATTAAATTTAGTTTTAATTTTTTTATTACAAATTGTTAGAGGAATATAAAAGTGTTATTTTTCAAAAGAAGAAAAAAATTGTGTGAGATTTTAGATAAATGATGATGCAATAGATATTCGATACTATATTTTATTATTTAATTGGTATTTATCTTTTTAAGTATATTAAACAATCGATTGATTGAGTAATTATTAAATATTAGTGTATTGACTATTGATTTTTTATTTATAATACTGTTCAGAAAATTAAAAATATTGAGTTTTAGAATTAATTTTAATTTTTTAGTTACAAGTTTTAGAATATATTGTTGAAGCAAAAAATATTTATTCAAAAGAAAAAAAAATTTGTGTAAAATTTTATGTAAATGATGACATGGAAGATATTTGGTATTTGATTATTTAGGCGATGTTTATAGTTTTAAATTTATTAAATAATCGATTCATTGAATAATTATTAAATATATTAATTATTTAATATTTTTTTATAATATTGATTAGAGATTCGAAAATAAAAGTTTTAGAATTATTTTTATTTTTTTGATTACAAGTTCTAGAATATAGCTGTTGAAAAATAAAAGTATTTATTCAAAAGAAAAAAAATTGTGTGAGATTTTATATAAATGATGACGCAGAAGATAAACAGTATTTGATTATTTAGTCGATGTTTATCCTTTTAAATTTATTAAATAATTAATTTATTGAATAATTATTAATATATCGATTGTTGATTTTTTTTTTATAAAAGTGATCAGAGAATTAAAAGTAGAGACTTTTAAAATTAGTTTTTACTTTTTGATTACAAGTTTTAAAATATAGTTGTTGGAGCATAAAAATCTTGATTTAGAAAAAGAAAAAAAAATTGTGTGAGACTTTATGTAAGTGATGATGTGGCAGATAAATGACATTCAATTATTAAGTCGATGTTTATGTTTTAGGTTTATTAAATAATTTATTTATTAAATAATTATTATATATTTTGATTATTGATTTTTTTATAATAGTGATAAGAGAGTTGAAAATAAAGAGTTTAGAATTAGTTTAAATTTTTTTATTACAAGTTCTAGAATATAGTTGTTGAATCATAAAATTGTTTATTCAAAAGAAGAAAAAATAATTGTACGAGTTTTTATGTAAATGATGACGCGGAAGATGATCAATATATTATTATTTAGTCGACGTTTATCTTTTTAAGTTTATTAAATAATTGATTCATTGAATAATTATTAGATATATTGATTACAAATTTTTTTTATAAGAGTGAATATAGAATTGAAAATAGAAAGTTTTAGAACTAGTTTTTAATTTTTGACTACAAGTTCTAGAATGTTGTTGTTGGAACATAAAAGTGTTTATTCAAAAGAAAAGAAAATGAAAAATAAATTGTGTGAGATTTTATGTAAATAATAACGCTGCAGATGATAGGCATTTGATTATTTAGTGGATGTTTATTTTTTTAGGTTTATTAAATAATCAATTTATTAAATAATTATTAAATATATTGATTATTGAATTTATTTATAGTTGTCATTACAGAGTTGAAAATAGAAAGTTTTAGAATTAGTTTTGATTTTTTTATCACAAGTTCTTGAATATGATTGTTGGAGCATAAAAGTGTTTATTCAAAAAAAAAAAAAGGAAAGAAAAAGATCTTGTGCGTGATTTTATGTAAATGATGATACGACAGATAATTAATATTTGATTATTTAGTCAATACTTATCTTTTTAAATTTATTAAATAATCAATTTATTGAATAATTACTAGATATATTATTTATTAATATTTTTTTGTTTATAATTGTGATCAGAGAGTTAAAAATAGAGTTTTAGAATTAGTTTTTTTATTTTTTTTATTACAAATTTAGAATACTTTGTTGGAGCATAAAAGTGTTTATTCAAAAGAAGAAAAAAATGAAAGAAAAACAAATCGTGTGAGATTTTATATAAATGATGATGCGACATTTGATTATTTAGTTGATGTTCATCTTTTTCTTTAGATATATTAAACAATCCATTGGTTGAATAATTATTAGATACTAGTATATTGACTATACTATTGATTTTTTTTTTTTTTTTTATAATAGTGATAAACTTGTTGCCTGCTCACCGGTATTGAAGAAGGGTAGGGGGTGTACCTGCAGAACACTCCGATGCTAAAGTAAGCGTATGGGCAAAGTGAGAGTAAATACATAAAAGGGGTAAGAAGTGAATTACCTGAAGATGGTATTTATAGAGAGACCCCAGCGCTGGGCCAACGGTCACTTGTGTTGGGCTGGATTGCCAAGCCCAACACAAGTGACTGCTATGGCTTACGTGGCGTAGTGAAGACCAGGGCGTGGTCTTCGCCCTAGTCCAACTGTCCCGTGATCTCTGAAAAGTGGGTTTGACCTGCTCTTTCGGAGGTGGGCAGTTGGTCGGTGATGTGTCCCCGCGGAGGGGACACATGGAGAACGTGTGAAGGACACGTTGTCCTGCTCGACAGGGGAGCGGGTTCTGCCCGCGGAGAGGGCAGTGTCTGGTTGATGGGAGAGTCTTACGCTCGACATAGGTGGGCAGGTTCTGCCCGCGGAGGGACCTTGTGCCCGGAGGCTGCGACCCAAGCTGGACTGGGCTTGGCAGGATATTATTGGGTTGGGCCTGCTTGGCCAAGCCGGAGCCCAGGCCAAAACAGAAAGTTTTAGAATTAGTTTTAATTTTTTTATTACCAGTTTTAGAATATAGTTGTTAGAGCATAAAAATATTTACTCAAAAGAAGATAAAAAAATAGTTAAATATGTCAGGGGTCCTTATGAATATGTCAACATTCAATTTTAGTCATGTTCTGGATTGGGTCGGGACCTGCCCACCAGTCGGGTAGACCCAACCCAACGATATGTTAGGAAGGCCCCACGCCGGGCACAAGTTATATACGTCGGGCACAAGTTATATACATCGGGCAGATGACTCCTTTAACGGACAGACCCACACGTTTTCCCCACGTTCTCCATGTGCTCCCCCACGTAGGGACACATCATCAGGAAATTACCCACCTTCGAAAGAGTTGGTCAACCCACCTTCCAAAGATCACGGGGCAGTTGATCTAGGGCGAAGACCACATGCTGGTCCTCACTATAAGCCCTACTAGCAGTTAGTTGGGTTGGGCCTGGCAGTCTGACCCAATGCAAGTAACCGTTGACCCTGCGCTGGGGTCTCACTATAAATACTCTCTTTCACTAGAAGCTCAGGTATTCCATTCTAGACCTACTTCTGTATTTGCTCTCCCACTCTGATCTTTTACTTAAGCATTGAAGTGCCTTGCAAGCACACCCCCTTCCTTCTCCCTACCTCCGGTGAGAGTTACCAGTCAACGACGTGTGGCAGACCAGTGATCCTTTCGATCAGGTACGATCAAGTCGATCAGGTACGATCAAGTCCCTTAATATTTTTTAAACAGTGGTCCTCGCAAAATTTTCTATCCCTAAAATTGATTTCACCCGTTAGTTTCCACTAACGGAGGCTTACGTGGCATGACATATGTGTTTTTTTTACACATGATTTTTATAAATTAATTATTTTTGTTTTATATAAGTTAAATTGTGGGGGGTTATAAACCTCCCCTAAATGCCCAAATTCTCTCACACATTTCATCAAACAATTTTTGAGCAATCTTTCAAGGATTGATCTTGTAGATCTTATGATGTTCATCAGTTTTAATAGGAAGACCTCTCCCCACAACTGGTACAAGTGGTTCTGATTCTTCACAAATAAAAAAAAAACGTCAAGCTAATTCTTCAATAACATTTCAACACTACTAATTTTTTCATTTCTTCCAAAACATGATTGGGCCAATAATCATTCAGAGTCAGAAATAAATCCCAACTCTACACTTAAAAAATTCTAGTCTATTGAACAAACAAATTTTTCACATGTCGATTCTAGATGCAAGTCCTTCCCCTATTGCTTGTTTTTATTAATTTCTTGTCTATTTTAGCAAGCTATTCCATTTTCAGAACTGATACGATACCTGGTTTATAATAAAAGATTGAAAAAAAGACGAACCTCTTAATGAGCACAATATATTAGTATTTCTCCATGAAATGAAATATCCTTAGAATCTAAAGTAGTTTTTAGAATCACATGAACATATACAAATCACTGCTTTTTTTGAAAATGAACAAAAAAAAATTACAAACTATATAATTCATGTGTTGCTTCTTTGTAGGATAATGGTATATTGTCACATGAGTGATGATTATCATTGTTTATTCGTGTGTTGATTCATTTCAGTTTCATTGTTGAAAGATTGTATGCTACTCGATGTTTTTGCTCAGAGTTGTTATGTACTCAAGAAGTTGATACCCATCAAAGTAAAGTCATCTGATTTCTACGATTGTCTCAGTAAGTACTTCACTAACATTGTATATTTAAATGGTCATTCTTTATGCATTTGAAAATATTATGCTTTGTAGAACTTAATCATTTAGGCTTTCTTTGGGAAAACTACTTATGCTTTGAAATTATCTATTGCTATTATAATTATTTTATATATTCCAAGGCTTATTTTCTACAGAATATGAACATTCAATGGAATCATAAAATTTGTTCTTCTACAAAAACAAGACAAGTAGTGTTGAAATATTTAAGATTACAAAAAAATTATTTTCAATCATCACTGAAGGA